AAGGATCACCAGAGTCCAGCAGGTTGAGGCTGCGGTGGCTGGGAGCGGCCACTGCACTCCAGTCTGGGTGACAGAGTGAGACTCCAATTCAAGAAAAAAAAATTGAATATAGTTGAATTTAAGTGTATTATCACTATGTCATAGACACTGATCCCAGACTACTCTAATAGCTATATGTTGGTAATGAAAACTTGACTTAGCACCAAATGATAGTAATAATTTACAGATCTAGTGTCCCATGTTTTTCTTATGGGGATATAAAATTAACACCTATGGAAGGAGAAATATAATATGGATATAGTAGTTCTTTTTTTTTTTTTGAGTTGGAGTCTCACTCTGTCACCCAGACTGGAGTGCAATGACCACTCCCGGCCACCGCAGCCTTGACCTGCTGGGCTCCGGTGATCCTTCCGCCTCAGCCTTCCAAGTAGCTGGAACTACAGGCGCGTGCGCTACCATGCCCGGCTAATTTTATTTTTTTTCATTTTTATTGTAGAGATGAGGTCTTGCCAAGTTGCCCAGGCAGGTCTCAAACCCACGAGCTCAGGCAATCCACTCACCTCAGCCGCCCAAAAGCGCGGGATTACAGGCTGAGCCACCAAGCCTGGCTGAATATAGTAGTTCTTGTCTCTGGAAAGGAGAGGTGCCTAGAATTGGGAGGCCTAGACAGGAAGACAAATGAATGAGACTGAGTTGTCTCATTCCTTTTATGGTTTTTTGTTCCCAGTCTCAGGAGGAATCTAGGAGAACTTAATGAAAGTTAAGTGAGAATCAAAAATAAAATTTGGAATACCAGATTTGTGAGGGACATTAAAGAAATTGGAATATTATCTTGGAAGAAAGAAGGTATTGCTGAAGTTCTCTTATCCTTTAAGAATATAAAGGGGGAAGGAAGTAAAAAATTTTTGAGCATACACTATGTGCCAGGTATTACTAGGTACTTTGTAAGTGTTTATGTTAACTGTGTTGTGTTCCACATAGGAAAGAATAGAGAGAGAATCAACTTTTATTGACACTGAATGGAATTCTTTTTAGACATCATGTTAGGGAAAGGTGGGTGGGGAGAAGGGACCGAGTTAGATAAGGGCAGACCTACCTAAATGCAAAAAATGCGTTTGCAAGCTTTTGTGAAGCCTCCTTTTGTCCTAGAATTTGGTTCCTCACAGATTTTTTTCTTACAGCCAATGAATTTCCCTGTTTGCCAAAGCAAGTGGCTTGGATACTGGCCACAAGTAAGGTTTTCATGTATCCAGAGCTACTTCCATTGTGTTCTCTGAAGGCAAAGAATCCCCAGGATAAGATCCTCTTCACCAAGGCTGAGGACAAGTGAGTGTTCACTCTGGGGGATCAAAAGAACAGAATATCTCAAGGAGAAGACATGGTTCTGTTGAGAAGCGTAGGGGACAGAAAGCATGTATAGTAAGACACGGACACAACAGACAAAAAGAAAGACAGTGTAGATAGACTTCTACGAGATATGCTTGTTCTACTGGTGCCAAATACTACTTTTTGGGGGATGCCACACACATCTTTGAAAAGTTTAAATCATTGTTTTATCTTTTAGTTATTGTAAAACCAATCTTACAATACTATTAAGGGAATATTACCACAGGATAAAAATTTGTGTCTGTTATCCTACCACCACAAGACAGTGGTTTTTCTCCATGCATTTCTTATGTGACTGCTGTTAAATGTAAGTAATTTTGTGTTTTGATTTTATTGTGTAACATCACATCTTGAAATTGTTTTTCTGTGCTGTAACCTGTAACATTGTCTTTGGCGGGGTTTTTTTTGAGACAAAGGCTTACTTTGTCACCCGGGCTGATGTGCAGTGGTGTGATCATAGTTCACTGCAGCCTCACACCCCTGGAGTGAAACAATTCTCCTGATAACTGAAAATTTAGGTGCTCACCACTACACCTGGCTAATTTTTACATTTTTATTAATTAATTTATTTTGAGTCCAGTTCTCGCTCTTATTACCCCGGCTGGAATGCAGTGTTGTGATCCTGGCTCACCATACAGCCTCAAACTCCTAGACTCAAGCAGTCCTACCACCTCAGCCTCCCAAAGTAGCTGGAACTACAGGTGCGCACCACAGCACTCAGCTGAATTTTTAATTTTTTTTTTTTTTTTTGAGTTGGAGTCTCACTCTGTTGCCCAGACTGGAGTGCAGTGGCCGCTCCCGGCCACCGCAGCTTTGACCTGCTGGGCTCCGGCGATCCTTCCGCCTCAGCCTTCCTAGTAGTTGGAATTACAGGCACGCGCTACCATGCCCGGCTGATTTTTTATTTATTTATTGTAGAGATGAGGTCTCGCTACCCAGGCAGGTCTCGAACCCGCGGACTCAGGCAATCCACTCACCTCAGCCTCCCACACGGGATTACAGACTGAGCCACTGAGCCTGGCTGAATTTTTAATTTTTTATAGTGAAGATGTCTCCCTGAACTCAAGCAATCCTCCTGCCTTGGCCTCCCAAAATGCTGGGATTATAGGCAGGAACCACCACGCCCCAGCCATTGTTATTTATCTTTCAATATTTTTTTGTTTTTGTTTTGTTTTTGGTTTTTTTTTTTAGTTTGAGTCTCACTCTGTCACCCAGACTGGAGTGCAGTGGCTGCTCCCGGCCACTGCAGCCTCGACCTTCTGGGCTCCGGTGATCCTTCTGCCTCAGCCTTCCAAGTTACTGGAACTACAGGCACGCACTACCACGCCTGGCTAATTTTTTTGATTTATTGTAGAGATGAGGTCTCACCAAGTTACCCAGGCGGGTCTCAAACCCGCGGGCTCAGGCAATCCATTCACCTTAGCCTCCCAAGGCGCGGGATTACAGGCTGAGCCACTGAGCCTGGCTGTTATTTATCTTTTAAAACAATATTTAAAAATCCTATGATAGTCCTTTTGTTGGCCATTTTTTCCCACTCGTTTTGCCATTTTAAGTGTGGTTTCACCAAGGATATTTGTACGTAGAGCTTTTTACAATCTTACTAGTTTATCCTTGTGGGTAAATTCCCAAGAGTGTGATTGTTTGATAAAAATTACAAGCACATATAGCTCTTGACATGTATTGACAAACTGCTGTCAGCAAATATGTACATGTGTAACCGTAAATGAATATGTTATGTTGGGTAGTACTCATGCTGGTTTAATTTGTCTGGTAGGCTACCTAGTATTCATTTTACATTTGCTTTTTTAGAATCATTCTCCTTTCTTTGTATTCTCTTTTGAACTGTGTTTTGTGAGTATAAAGCTCATTGTGATCTGACATTTATTAATGATTTGTGCCTAGTTTTTCTTTTTCCCACTTAATTGTGAACTCCTGTTTGATTTCTATTCACAGTATTTATTAGCCCTCAGTAAATGTCTGAAATTTTCTGTTGAGTAGTCATCAACTTGTATAAGAATTCAATGTAGGAAAAGTAGATTATGAAATTTGTGGAGTTATCTGGGGAGGCTTTTCAGAAGAAAGGACTGAAGTGAGATTTGGTGTCATTGCTCCTTTCTCAGTTTGTTAGCTTTAGGACTGAAGCATTTTGAAGGGACTGAGGTTCCTAACCCTCTAATCAGCAAGTACCTTCTGACCTGCAAGACTGCCCGCCAGTTGACCGTGAGAATCAAGAACCTCAACATGAACAGAGCTCGGGACAACATCATTAAAGTGAGTGCTCCTGGGCCTGTTCCCCTAGGACCCTGTCCTGTGTGCATGTGTCTTTTCTTTTTCCTCCTTGTAGTCTCAAAGAAGAGAGTCCTTTTGTCCAAGGCTAATTCCTCCCACTTGTGTACTGGTTTAATTCCCCTGTTGCCTTTTCAAGAACACTGATCCTTCTTCTTCTCTCTTATGGATATTTCCCCTAAATATGGAATTATTTAAGTCTTAAAAGTTCACAAATCGAGGCCGGGTGTGGTGGCTCATGCTTGTAACCTCAGCACTTCGAGAGGTGGAAGCAAGAGCACTGCCTGTACCCAAGGGTTCGAGACCAGCCTGGGTAACTTGGCAAGACCTCATCTCTCCAGTAAATGAAAAAATTAGTGCGGTGTGGTGACAGGTACCTGTTGTTCCAGCTACTAGGAAGATTGAGGTAGAAGGATCTCCTGAGCCCAGCAGGTTGAGTCTGTGGTAACCATTAGTGTGCCACTGCACTCCAGCCTGAGTGACAGAGTGAGACTCTGACTCAAAAAAATAAAAAATAAAAAAAGGGTTCACAAATTCATGTTTCCCCCAGTCATATACTTTCTCTTTAACTTTCTGGAAATGGTAGACAGTACTCCACTAACATGCTTTGCCTTAAATCTTCTTTTTTGTTTAGATATTTATATCAATGTCATATAGTATATACTTTAAAGAGTCAAATAGGTCTACAAAGAATGTTATGAAAAAAATGTTTGTTTTCCTGGTAACCTGGATTTTTGGGGTAATGGTGTATTTACCTTTGTATCTAGGTAGATGCGTTTTTTTTTTAAGTTGGAGTCTCACTCCATTGCCCAGGCTGGAGTACATTGGCACACTCCTAGCCACCACAGCCTCAACCTGCTGGGCTCCGGCGATCCTTCCGCCTCAGCCTTCCAAGTAGCCAGAACTATAGGCGCGTGCTGCCACGGCCAGCTGATTTTTTTTTATTTATTGTAGAGATGATGTCTCACCAAGTTGCCCAGGTGGGTCTTGAACC